CTCCCCCTGTTTGTGCTCCCTCTCTTGCTGTCTCTCTCTCTCTCTGTCAAATAAGTAAATAAAATCTTTAAATAAATAAATAAAAATAAAAACCCACTTTTAATTCCTATCAGCTGGAGCATAATAACAGGCCCTTTGGACAATATCTGCTCTGCAAAGCAGTCTCATCTCCACCCCAGTTCCATCTGCTGAGATTCTCAACTCACCTTCCCCAGAGTGACCTCTTTGATTTTTAGCTGCCGGGTCAAGAGCAGCAAAGAGCAGACCAAGATCTTCTGCTGAAGAGGGAAGGAATCTTGTGCTCCTTCTTTGCTCAAAGTCATTCTGTTACCATCAACTTCTGAGATGACTTGGGATATGTGAATAAGACCAACCCGCTTGGGAACCAGTGACTCAGAGGGTGATTTGCCTAAAAAGTAAATAAATCAGGCTTCATTAGATTTTTAAAATATTGTGTATATTGAGACAGAGGATACTAAGTTTTAGCTGAAGGAAATTCAAGTGCAGTCATGTGGTGGCAAAGCAGGTTCCAACTCTGTAACTAGAAGCCAAAGGATGAGAGACGGTGCTACCTTCAGAAAGATGATGACTTGGAAAATAGGGTTATCCTTTTTCTGAGCAGAATGGTAGGCTATTAGGTCATGTAGAATGCAATTTAATGTCAGACAGACAAAATCCACCTCATGAAAGAATAAGGACTAGACAGAGGACTACTGTATTCTGCCTTGGAAATTCTCAGTATCCTGAAGATGAAAAAGTATAGAACCGTGAAGCAAAGATGATTGTGCCTGCTAATTAAGAAAGGAAAAAAAGTTGTAAGAATTACCTAATACTTTCAAATGAGTGGCTAAATGTGGACAGTAAAGTGAATCCTACTTAAGTCCTCTAGATAGCTTCCCCAAATGACCCTTGAGTAGGTTCACTTGCCTAAGACGATCCACAATAGAGCAACACTTGAGAAAATGTCATTGGATATTTTAGCAGATAGCACCATCTCAGAGGCCGGAGGTTGGGGAACTGCCAACAAGATGCCTAGGACTGTGGCCTCATTGTTTTTTTTTTGTTTTTTATTAAAAGATTTATTTATTTATTTATTTATTTATTTATTTATTTA